ACCGTGTGCCTGTCCTCCCCCTCATATATTATAGAGATCAGTGGTTTGCCCTTGGAATGTCCCGCTCCCCGCCAGCCAATCAGCGCTGCTTATGCAAATTAATGCCACTATGTGAGTGGGAAAAAAAATCACGCGTCCCGCTCATAGGTCCCGCTCTATACGCTGGGCGGCGCCACCGTGCAGGCGTGGTCGTGGTTTGGTCGTGGTGTACATTCTGGTCTGTGACACGCCTTCTCTGTCGTAGTTGCACTGTTGATTATTTTGTTGTGTTTTGAGTTGTTGGTCTGCTCTGTTCGAGGTCATGGATGCTGAGGCTTTACTCTCTAGCTGTTATTTGAAAGTAATTGGTTGTGTATTGGCAGTAATCGTACTCGTAGGCATAGCCATAGGCGTAATATGGCGAATTAGAAAGTCAAGGTAGGCCCACATGATTCACGTATCACCCTGTGGTACAACATGGATAGAGATCGAGCATGGTTGTGAGAGCAAAGCCGTTGAGTTACGCTACATGGTTCTCAATGGAACCATGCTCTCTATCTTTGTACCACAAGGGCCAAGTTAACAGAAATTGTATTGAACTATCTGTCTATCAACACGAATTTAGTATCCTGATTTTTATATTTTGACTTTTGTCATCATGTCGAACGGTACGCCAATAAAGAAACGAAGCCGAAGGCGTACCGGCCAGTTTGGTTCAAGGATAGAGAACATGGGTCCCAATAAAACCAATGTCATTTACATCAATATAAATATAATATTATATCAATATAATAGGTTAGGGTTATGGTTGGGTTAGGATTAGGGTTAGGGTTAGGGTTAGGCACATTAATTGGTTTTATTGGGACCCATGTTCTCTATCCTTGGGCCAAAAGTTTTATGCAGTGGCTAGAGGTACGGTAGCCGTCGGTCGTTGAAGCTCCTTTTTGGCGTTAGGATTAGGGTTAGGTTTAGGGTTAGGGTTAGGGTTCTATTTAAACTCTCAAATCATGAATTTATTTCCCAAGGCGTTATTCCGAAATCTGGCGCCACCGCCGCCATCTTTGTCTCGTTAAGTTGTAAGGGTTGGATCCTTACACGGTCGGTTCTCCTGGCCGTCTGGTAGAATGAAGCACCCCGAGTCGATCTCAGGCGGTCCCTTATTACGCTGGCAGCCGTGCCTTGCCTGGCTTGCCGGGAATCCTAGTTGTAGGCTGAGTGTGAATCTGTAGAATCCCGTAGAATGGCTTCGACTCGTATGTGACGGTATACCCCTTACACTCTCCTCTCCTTCGAAGCAGTGTCCCGGAGGAGATCGTGTAATGCCAACCGTATCACATGCTAAATGCACTAGTACACTTCCCATAGCATGTGGTTATGTGCTGCTGCTACGTTGCTCATAGCGCAGCACGCATCGTTCGCGCATACTGGCAGGATAAATTGATTCTTCACCTGCGGTTATGCCTCTACTCGACATATTTTCATGGCCCATTATTCGACATTTTTATCGCTTGGTCGACATGGCACACACGCTTCTTTGTCCTTAGCGTCCGCTAGAACAGCGTCAAGGTGACGTCATTCGTAGCACCGTATAGTACTATAGCAGACGTCCCAAGTCTCCCGGTCTCACTGGGAGACTCCCGATATGAACGCTGCTTCCGGTGCCCCGGAAATGAGGTCAGAAGCTCCCGGTTTGTAACATTTTTTAGCCATATGAAAATTTACATCAGTAAATCAGTAATTCTAAATTTGCCGTTCTTTGTTGATGTAATTTGATTCCAGCGAACAATAAAAGGCGATAAAACGATGATTTTACATGTATACTTTATAAAAAATGGTGGGTGCCGCGACAACACATATCGCAGCCCGCCACAATTTTTCACTGGTTTTTGCGCACTGGCGAAAAACGGCGATGGACCTGGCTCCCTTTCTTGGATTGCTGGCTCCCTTTCTTGGACTTTCCCAACTTGGGACCTCTGCTATAGGGACCCTGGAACCGAGGGGCTAGTTTTGCACTAAAGTTCTTTCGTGCATCTGACAACGGGTGTGTCTTTATCATAACTCTAGCCCCTGGAGAGATTCTGCTGCCCCGGCGGTGGGTATCATAGTATAACTTAGCTTTAGCTGATGCGGCCTGTTGCTTGGCTTTAATCCGCTTGTACAGCGGGTTCGAAACTCTCTCCTCCCCCCCAACTGGAGGTCAAAATAAGAACATAATTTACGTCCTAGAAAAATTTCAGCCGGCGTGTGCCCAGTAGTATCATGCTTCGCAGAGTTTAACGCAAACTGCAAGTCTGACAAATGCACATCCCACGTTCTATGATCCCCAGCAACGTATGACTGCAACATAGCTTTAATGTTACGGTTCACCCTTTCAACCCAATTCGCCTGCGGCCTATATGCCGTAATCAACTTGTGCCGTATCCCCCACTGTCTGCAAACGGCCGCAAAAGCCTTGGAACGAAACTGCGCCCCATTGTCGGAGATCAGCCAACGAGGGGGCCCAAAAATCGAACAAAACGATCTGTCCAGACTCAATGCTACATTACTGCCTGTAGCCTTCCTTAAAGGAATAAGTTGCGACCATTTTACCGTTTCACCACCGAGATTCATTTATGCTAAAACTGGTTTAATATACTCATCTGGTAATCTATGTTTTAGAATTGCCTGAACTCATAGTAGATCTATCAAGTGCCTAGACACGAAAAGTTTGGTTGATGAGCACTGTCTCTAGCAGTGCATAAGCCTGGGAACTTGTGATTGACTCTTACAGCTATGACGGCATATGGACTATCACACACACATTAACATTAGCATTTACTTTTACATCATTGACATTATCAACGACATTACCAACGACATTATACGTGATATTATCTGTATCGATCATCAGTGACATGATAGTACGGTGATTTTAACACTTGACTGACTAACATTATCAATGTAAATAAATTGGGTGTGGTTTTACAACAACCCAGCACAGAGTTAGAGAGTGTAGTTTTTAATAATTCTTCATTTACCATAAAATGTTGGGTAAGTCTCCTCCACTGTAATCTCCACGGTAGTTACTGGGTTCTTAACTTATCCTGCAATACCACATCATAAGGCAGCAGCCTCTAGCCAGTAGTCTATGTATATGCATATTTATTTATTTATTTATTTATAGACAAGAAAAAAAGCATAAAGATTACCCAAAGGACACTGTTGTGCTTCACCAGATAGGAAGAGCAAAATATGCTCCTAGTTTGTCACCATTTCCATTAAAGCTAGAGACCTACCTGCGTATGGCGGAAATACCCTACATTGTAAGTATTCCATCATGGCTACTAGGGCGCGTTTGTTTGGGACGAATCCGTCTGATCGAGATCATATGATCCTGATCCGACCAAACAAACGTAAAACTCACTTTCGCCCATTTACGTTTTGCTGTGACCTATCACGGGATGGTTCATAACAAAGAACAAGCTGTGATTGGCTGAGGCGTGGGCCGCAATATTGGATCCTGTTTGAATACACATCTTTGCTAGCAGGGTCGGGTTCGGTGGATCGAGATCAAGTGATCCGACCAAACAAACAGTCAGATCAACGAATCCATCGGATCGAGATCCGTGGATCCGACCAAACCAAACAAATGTGAGCGTAGCCATATTAAAATATCACATGATGAGATGGTGCTCGCTGATTGGTCGGATGAGAATTTGTCATCGTTCCAAGTTGCTGCCTACCCCCACACATGCGATTTGGAAGCGATTTCGGAGCGACGAGTTGCTGAAATTCAAACATGTTTGATTTCTTGCGACTCGCCGCAAGCGACCAGAATCGCTGTCGCACGTTCCCCCGCAGACCTAGCGATTTCTCATGCGACTTGGCTGCGATTCTAGAATCACAGACGAGTCGCATACATGAGTTAACAAGTTGCAATTAAGTCTGCGCGGGGCTTAACGCATGCGCGCCATCTGTCGACCGAAACGTAGTGCAGTGACTCGCATTGCATTGCAAATAGGGTTCATCATTAATTTAAATGAACCTTGAACTGCAAAAACAATATATGATGATGACGAGATACAATGTTGATAATTATGTTGCGTTTAGAATGAGCATTCGATGGAAATGTCGTCAAAGGGCAAGACACCGTGGATGACTTATAATGGGCTAGACATCGCAGATTCAGAATTCTGCATTGGCTACCTGACGGAGAAGTTGGGAACTGATATGAGCAAGAACCTCACACCGGAGGAGAAGGCCATTGCACATGCATTCCAGAAGATGACCGAGGAAAGCCTCTACTGGTAGGCATATAGTATTTACGCAGACCTGTGGTGATTACTGACCTTGGTAATAATATCTCTTTACAACCCAGTGTTCTCGGTAGTGGTCTACGGTCGGATCTCATATGACGGTAGCTTCGTATCGCGATCTTTCATATATCAATGAATTTCGTGTAGATTTATGATGAAAGGTCTGTGATATGATAGGGGCAACTATTACATATGTGGGAATTCTTGTCCCGGTGTAGATAATTGTTGGTTTGTCTCGATTCTTTCGATATCCAGTTGCTGGGTTTTCTGTTTTGTGTCTGCTGTGATGTGTGTCAGTGTGCTGATTATCTAACCCCTAAAAAATGAGCCACACTGTCTGGCAGGCACATGATTCACCAATATACAATGCAAGTGTATCCCCCAATGTTTGCTTGCTTGATATTTACAGTTAGTTGTGGCTGGTTAGTTCGGGCAGTGATATCACGTATGCCATAGCTGATAATTTGTAAATACACACAGGCACCGTAAATTGTGAGGGTTTAGAAATGGATGAACTATAATAGTATAATTTCTATACTTGTACAGTACTACTTTCCTATTTAGCTGTTCTGTGAGTGGTGTAGCATTCCGCTTCGTTCTGACAATAGTGCCTCATAGTAACATTAATTCAGATATATATAGTACAGCTACATTCACATCAGGGAGGGGGTAGTTCTCCGTATAAAACCATGTGGTTCTTTCATAAATAACACTCCAAACATGCTACACCAATGTTTTATACATCGCTGACAATCTTGGAGTGAAAGGCATGCTGTAAGTTTCTGACCAAGGCATATACTTATGCCTATATACTTATAGGCATATATGTATATAAGCGATCCACTGGCAAACTGATGACATCTCACGTCGTATTCTCATACGTGTGTGTGAATTCCACACTGGCATGTCTTATATTGGAATGATTGGAAAACGCTTTGGATGTGTAGGTCTGCAAGACATTCTGCTTGAATCTCAGGTTGTTGCCACTGGATCCATTAATGGTGTGCTCAGTGAGCATTGTGAATATGAATAATGTGCATAATTATGAAAAATGACGATAATGCTTGCATTCGTACAGGACTATGTGCTACATTGCCCTCGCAGGCGACCTGACTTCAGTACGCAGTATCATGCCCTACACTGGTTTCAAGCTGTGGTTCGTTCCATTAGCACTGAGCTCTGTCATCCGCAAGCAACTATGGGGACAGGGTGTGGGGCGACACACCCGTGAAGAAGTTGAACATATCGGCGAGGGAGATGTGAAGGCTTTGTCCGTTTACTTGGGTGATTGCAGCCTGTATTCATGATTAATTAGTGCATGCTATAAAAATTGCTTTCAGCATTTGTACTGTCGATTAACACAGTTTGTGCATAACGTAATTTTAGTATCTCTACTGTTTGCTGCAACAATGGTTTGCTTATTAAGCCATGGATCGAGGAATGCAATATAAGTCAACTTATTACCTGCATTTTCTTGATCAGGGTTTCTCACTGTTATTTTGTTAACGACTCCAATATGTTCGCCATTGGGCACCGTTACCCCAATGTGAGTTTGGGAATGCGTTGTATACTGCCGCACAATATTGTGAAACTCTTTGAAATCACGTAATCTCCTGCATTCTGGGTGCTAATACACTGTCACGGGGCATTTTATATGCACGTAAAATACACGTTTCTCGCATGCAGACCATAACAGGATGTCAACATTTTTACTGTGATGCGTGCTGTGTGTGCGATTTTTATTTTGTGTCTTCTTTTCGTTTCGGTATGCATTTTACTTTTGCATGCAAATGAGACATCTGATGAGCAGCTAGAAAAGCTTGATTCTAAACAAATCTTGCGATTCGAGAAATAGTCTACGCTGTTCTAGATATAGTACACACCTATTATTTTTTCTGTCAGCATTTTCTGTTAATGCATATGCTATTCTACTCACTATCAAATAACCAATAATTACTTCCAGCTAGGGTCGTGGGACTTAGGAGTATGAGGTGAAGCCATTGATGTTTTAAGGAAGACAGTGTACATGTGCATCAAAGAGTAGACATTAGTGGACATTTTCCCCACTTGTTCCATATTTTCTGGCAAATTCTTATTTCTTTGTTCCATTATCGTGGATTTCAGTGCAGACGCTACAATTTCTATTTATTGGAAGTCATCCACTCGGTCTTTATGGGCAGCACATTCGATAAATTCTTGTGTTTTCAGATAGCCGATGTGCTAGTGTTCGAGTATGACGGTCTTCACTGTGAAATGCTGTAATTATATCTTCGCTTTAGGACTATGGTAGAACAACGATGGGTGATTGAAAAGGGTGCATCACTTCCCGAGTTAAGTGGAAACATGATACCTAGCTACCTGATACCCGCGTTCGTCCATCGAGTAAAAAAATCAACCCATGCCCAAGGCATAGGTCGCCACAGCAATTATGAAGTCATATCTATCACGAATGGCGACCTTAAGGCTCTATCTGATTACCTGGGTAAGACTACTTTTGCAAGAATAGTGTAGCTAGCTCTAGACTGTGTCTGTTAATTGCAGTTTCCCCATAGCTTCGACCCTTGGATACCTGTTTCTTTTTGTGGTAAAAGCATAACTACGATAACGATGTATGTATAACTTAGGGACGTATATAGCTAGCCAATTTTGTTTGGGGGGGGGAGGTGCAAAGCACGTGGCACAAACCACGTGCCAGTTGTGTTGTGGGTGGTGCTCACTATGTAACAAGTCAACCCTCGGTACTTATTACCGGTAATGCTTTGCGCCGGGGAGGGAGAGGTGGAAATGTAAAATTGTTGATGTGTGATGAATCTCTGCCAGCCGGAACATGTATTCCCCCCCCCCACCACCACCACGCTCACTCTACAGCACACACAATGTCATATAATTATTATATAACACGTGTGTGTGTGTGTGTGCGTTGTATAGTGGGGACGGACGTAATTCCGTTACGGATAAACAAAACAGTACTAAATAAACTATGGAGATATTTTTATATTATAGTTATCAGAATACATAATGGATAATGATACGCATATATATAATAGTGAATAATAGTGATCTTAGGCTTGTTTTAAAGGTCAGAAATAAGGGAATAGAATATCGAGTAACCAAATTTATATCGTTGAATATGTGTGAAGTTAATCTGGTAATGTGTAAGCATATAGTTATTACTAGCCTTTCAATGATAGGGTACTGGAAACTATCTTTATTACTATTAGGATGCAGTCTATGTTGGGTTGGCTGTAGTCGGGACACTGTTCGCGTGCTTTAGCTATCATTTATGATCTTGGATTCAATTCTTCTTGGATTGATTATGATTCGAGATTGATGTGATAAAATAGAGCATGCGTATGCAGCGCAGATATTATCACTTTCCCTCCTGGCGCAAAGCATAAAGGGTAATTTCAGTACCTGGGGTTGTTATATAGTCACTTATAATTTTACACCAGGTATGGTGACCATGTATGGTTTGACATCATACTCCGAAGAAACCATTTTTACCGCGATACAAATAATTTAACTGCAGTCAAATTATAACCATTTCACCCAATCAGAGGCCTTGTTACACGTAATGTAACCACGGATAAATTGTCAACAGCTCTTTCTAAATGCAGTGAGTTGATCATGTGAGTACATCAGTGAGATATATATATATATATATACAACTTACACGGTATCACAGAGAAGTGATCATTTGACTGCAGTAAAAATTATTTAACCGTTGTGTAACAAGGCTTATGATTAGCTAAAATGTGATTATTTAACCGCGGTGAAAATAATTTATCCGTGTTAAAGGGATACATTATTCTAGGTTCTTTGGATATTTTCAGTTAAAATAGGTTAAAATTACGCTACATAACAAGGTTTATGGTTTTAAAACTGAGGGCTATACCGTTGCTTACAACGATGGTGGTGCCACTGGAAGTGCATCCACTAAAAGTTGCGCAAAGCAATGTTTCGGCTGCAGGCTACAGACCGGGGGTGTTTCTTATTAATTAATTTAGGAGCAGAAGCAAATTTTTCAGTGGATACGCTTCCAGTGGCGCCACAGTCGTTGTAAGCAACCGTATAGCTGTCAGTTTTGAAACGTGTAAAAAACGTTTTTAATGAATATTGAACCATGAAACTTTTTATGTACACAGTACAGTAGCATAATTTTAACCTATTTTAATTGAAAACATCCGAATAACCTAGGGTAATGCATCCCTTTAAGTTATTTTCGCCAATGTAAATTTTTTTATTTCTGAGTACGATGGCCAACCATAACCGTTTGCACATGACGATGTAGCATTTTCGTGGACCTTAGTCTATGGCAGTATGGTTGAGAGGGTCTATGTCCCCCCCGGGTACTGCCGGAACGTACCCTGGTTACGGTCCGGTATACCGGAACGTACCCTGGTACTATCTAATATGCCGGATCGTACCTCACTTACTCTACTAACGAGTCTAGGGAGTCGACTACGCCTACTCCTTAACCCTAACCCTAACCCGAACCATACCAGGGTACGTTCAGCAGTACCTGGGGACATAGACCCTATGAGCGGCAGTATGAGTATCTACGTTTCTCCGAGGTGGGTGCAAAACTGCCCCCCTCCTCTGGTATGGTGGTGGTGGTGTGTTGGCATGGGCTTAATTGGCTGTGGTGTGCTATTATTATTAATAGTGCTGCATTTTTTTGCAGCGAATCTGTTTTTGTTTACGTTGACCACATTCTGTAGTAGTTTGTTTCTGAAACCCTATGCTGTAAAATACTAAAAGTTTAACTCTAATTTATACTAATGACATGGAGCATTTGTCCACATTGCGCGTTTATCAACATTGTGTTTTTAGCCTGAGCTCAGAGTGGTAATACAGATTAGTTATAATGGGAATTGCTCTTCTACTATGACATCAAAATACATTGACTTCATAGCCTTACGATAGTGACGAAGTTATGTAACGGACATAAATTGACCATCAGTCGGATTAATTGACAGTTATAGCTTTAGCAAAATAGTATTGTAATAGGCACATTCTAATAATGCTGCAAGTGCTGAAGTGCTACATAGTACAAGATCTAAGCACCAAAAATCAGGTTCATATGCCCAAACAAATGTATTTCGAAATTTAATGTGGCATTTTGAAAATATGGTGCCACGCCCCCTTAAAAGGCCAAATCTGTTGGGGGAAACAAAAACACTATAGCCTGGTCGATTTTGGAGACCCTAGCAACAATGGCCAGTGTAGTATGGTTTTCTCGCTCCAGCAATAGGTCAATTATTGCATAACATGAAAAACAACAACAAATATATGTCACTTATTGATAATTCACTGGACATTCTACAGGTGAGAAGAGGTTCTTCATGGGGGACGAGGCCTGCACAGTTGACTGTGCACTGTGTTGGTATGCTGGCTCAAATGGTCTGGAACATGCCAGGCTCACCACATGAAGCACTCATCAATGGTAGGTTGGCGGATGGCGATATGTGCATAGTCGTTTGTGTCTTATCCTCACACCATCTAACATATTTTTGCTAACATAATTAATTAAATATTTACGTAATATAAACTGAAATTATCCAACAGGAAAGCTTCAAAAACCTGAAGGAATACGCCTACAGGATGAAGGAGACTTACTGGCCGACTGGATGCATGCATTCGTGCCCAGGAGAAGAAGGAAGAGAAGAAAAATGATAAGGTCACTGTGACAGCATAAACACACGCTGTGCATCCTGCTATATACGGATTGTCTTGGAAGAATCGTGTCTAGATATCTCTAAATATTTCATAAGACTGATACTGTGTGCTGCTCATGTGTATACGTAGGTATACTGCTTGCATTTTCTGTCACAGATGTTAGACTTGATGTATTCGTAGTAGATTAGGTATGTTTTTAGCTCATCTGACATAGTCAGATGCAGCTTGTAGAATTGCATGAGCGTGCGTCCGTGCATCCGTCCGGCCGTGCGTCCGTCTGGCCGTGCGTCGTCCGTGCCGTCAACAGTTGGGGCACAATTCTAAACGGGCTCGACATACGGTCACCGATATTCGGGACGTGCGGGAGGTAATCCGAAAACGAGTTGGGATGTCGAAGCTGGGGTCAAAGGTCAAGAGGTGAAAGAAGGAACATTCCCCCTTAACTTAAGGTGATAGGGAGGAATGCAGAATTGCGGCACAATCTAAACGGCTCGACCTAGGCTCGTGATAGTCAGTGTATAGCTTATGGTAGGGAAAGCCATCACGGTGCCGAAAATTGCGAGGTCAAAGTTCAGATGTGGGCCACACGGGCCAGATTTTAGACATTCTTCTGAGGACATGGTACTGACAGAAGCGCGATTGGAAAACTCTTTGTGTTCAGCGGCTGACTAGCATTTTTATGGCTTTTTTGCATAAAGGACCATGAAAGTGCTCTTTCTGCTGACATGTGAAGAGTCAAGTGATCGGATAACTTTTTAGACCCTTCAAGGGAGGGTTAACATCATGGATTTGTTTACTGTTAGAAAGAATTTGACTGCCGTGCGTTTGCTAGTTAGAATCTATTTACATGCCTGGATCGTAATATGAGGCTACAATGTCACAGTGAAAATTTCAAAAAGCTAAATTTGGGTTGAACGAAGAGTTTTGTGCTCCTTTCAAATCGTTATAATTTCGTTATTGGGCATTCTCGTTACTGTCAGTGTGTTAATGTAACTTAATTTATGCCACTGCCAGTTGCATGGTGGTGGCGCCTGATAGTACGGGGTGTACGTTTTTTGCCTAGGGCGTTAATAGGTTACATCGGTGGGGCAGCTGCGTCTATTTCTAGTCCTGTAGGCTCTGTGCGTAGGCCTAAATGGATGGAGTGCTTACCTTATTCTGTCTTGCAGAAATAGGTTGGTTGCTATACTAATACGATGGGATGCTTTATCATCTTAATACATAAGACATTCAAACATAGTCGCGCCATTCGTCGGCCAACTTTCCTACGTCTCCCAACGGACCACTTTTCTGTCGAGAAGGTTGCTGATACTATCCCAGTGTTCGAAATAAGGGCTATCAGGGCTGTCACGTACTTCGTCCAATTTCCACGTAGGATCAAAGTTAGATCTGTCCGCGCTAGCTTGTCCGCAGGACAAGCAGCTTTTTAGGAGCAATTTTCACTATTTCTCTACCATCGCTGGCCGCTTGCTGACGGTTATGAAAATGCTGCCGGAGTAATGTAACCATCGGTCTGCCGCAATTCCGACATAACCATTACTCCAGTTATAAACATTGTATGTTGAGAAGTTATTTATAAATAACGTGGTACCGCTTGCTAGCCCTATTAAGAACGGTCTTGCTACGGTTAGAAACCCAATCAGGACAATCCAGTCTGATGACAATCAACATTCTGTATAGAAATCAGTGCGCACAGCCTCGGTCCGCACCGCTACCGCCTCGAGAAACGAGCAAATTGTAGAGAGAGAGAGTGAGGGGAGAGAGTGAGGAGAGATATAGGAGAGCGCGCGAGCAGAGAGACGAGACGAAGAGCGGAAGAGAGAGAGTGATAAGTGAGAGGGAGAGAGAGTGCGAAGAGAGAGAGAGAGCGGGAGGAGAGAGAGGAGAGAGAGAGAAGAGCAGAGGGAAGAGACGAGCGAAAGAGTGAGACAGAGAGAGAGAGAAAGAGAGAGAAGGACAAAGACAAGAAAGGCAGAGAGACAATCGAGGGAGAGTTTGAGTGTAGCTGCGACGCGAGAGAGAGAGCAAGAGAGAGACGAGAGAGAGAGAGTGATCGATCGAGAGAGGAGGAGAGAGCAGAGAGCAGAGAGTGTGATCGAGGGAAGAAGGAGCGCCGAAGGCCAAGAGAGAGCAAGAGCAGATGGAGAGCGAAAGCAGAAATACAATGAGAGAGACAACGAGGAGTAGGCAAACGCAGGCGAGGGTGAGGGTGCTCTTGAGGTTCGTTTGCCAGGAGTTAGCCAATCAGAACACCTGCTGTCAGGTGAGCGCTGTCACTGCGGCACTTGTTCTTGTATAATTTGTAGAATCATCTGTGCTATATAATATACGTAGTTTTATGCAGTATGTTGCTAGTCATGTCTGCATCATGGCTATGTGCATTATCTATCAAGATGTGGCAGTTGGTGTTCTCGCAAAATGATGTACAATTGTCAATTAATCATAATGTTGTTCATAATGTTACGAAATAATTGTTATGGATACTGGAGTTATGTACGGTGATCATGTACAGTACGTCAGTAGTCATGTTACGGTCAATAGAGCTCATAGGGTCTATGTCCCCCAGGGTACTGCCAGAGCGTACCCTGGGTACAGTACGTATACCGGAACGTACCCTCTTGCTAAGCTATTTGATTGTTAGGGTTTAGCGCGTCTAGGGCAGCTCAGGCATAGGCGACTCCCTAGACTTTTAGTGGAGTAGAGCGATGTCACGGGTCCGGTATACCGGACCGTAACCAGGGTACGTTCCGGCAGTACCCTGGGGGACATAGACCCTCTCAGCGTCAATAGGGGATACAGGTATAAATGGGAAATGCTTGACGAGATTGCACTAGTAAGGCATTAGCTTTAGCATAAGCAAAAATTATTTACTATACATGTAACATTATTATGCCTAATGTAAAATGTAATGTGTTATGTAAACGGCAAGGGCACTGCACAACAAGATATCCAAATCTTTGTGATATCCGTGGGGTGTCATTTTCCCCCGGGCGTAGATGGAGGGTGCCGCTACGTGGCAGCACTAGTCACATAGCACTTAATATTATATACGCATGTACCAAGTATAAATTTTTTGTTAGATTTTCTAGGTGAGATAGAATATCAAGCATCAGTAAACTTAATTGGATCAGATATTATATCAGATACTATGGCATAATAATTTGTTTATTGTAATGTGTTTTTCTTGGTAAAGATGATTATATTTTCTGAGACGTGAAATATAGCACTAATACAGATATGTATGTATCAAGTCTATACGTGTATCAAGTATAAATTTTGCATGTTAGATTTTCTAGGTGAGATCAAGCATTAGTACACATGCATTAGCGGATATGGCAAAATATAGAAGTAAAAAAACAAGTCAAGGCAAATGCTTATGTATTAAAATATCTCAAGCAATTACCCAGTACAGAAACAGAACGTACAAAATATACAATGTGTACAGACGGCATCTGTCAAAACGTCACGTAAGTTGTGAAGGAAAACGGTGGTATTAACTAGATAAAGTTGTGTTGCCGTGTGATATAGTAATGCAGATTACATTCATACACTAGAAAACCCACTAATTTCATACATCGACATTACTAAGTACACATTGAGAGGTTACGTGTTATATAATACATACATTGTGTACATTTCATACACTGTTTATATATTTTTAACCGAGATATTTGGACATGGCTCAGTTCTACATGGATAGTGTGAACATCGACTACTATAACATCGACTTGTGTATATATATAACTATACAATATATATTAGTACTGTTCACGATAACATTTCGCGATTTAAAATGTGATATAGTCAGGTAAACTAATTTTAGCATACAAAGACAATGATAATAATGCATATACTATGCACGTTTATGACCATTTGCTTCTGATTTCGTACATAATTACAGATTTACTATAGCCAGTGTATGGTCGTTTTCCTGCACACTAGCTCCAATATACTATGGCCAACATCGTGGCCAGCAACCTTCTAAGAGGGAGAGTAATAGGCATGAGTGTGCATAAAGAGAAAGAGCCAAATAGGCAAAGAGAGAGAACATTTGGTGAGGTGGAACACATCACTTGTTGCATGTGTTGTAAGGTGCTCATTGCCATCACATCGATAAAGGCAAACGTCTATTCTCTCTCAATCCAGTACTATACAGGTGTCACTAGTGGTGCCTGACATGCTGATCATGTGTGGAGTACCGCTCTCCTTGGGAGACTTCTGACCTAGGTCGTCTCGCAGAGATCCAGTTGGCTGCACAGCAACAGGCAACTTCATCCTGGTAAATGGCAGAATACCCATCTTCCGCTGCACTGCCAAATCAGGTGCAATTTCATTGGTTGAGGGCGGGAGAGGATGTGCTTTCGGTGACGCTGTGACGGCGCTCAACGGTGAATGACCCTCCGAGGATCTCTTCCGCACAAAGTTAAGAATACCTCTGTTCAAAACGGGCGTCCTTGGCCCCTCTGCAATAACAGACTTTAGAACCGACTCCGGCGACATGTGGCGTGTAAACTTTGCAATCGACGGCGACGGCTTTGTGAGCTTTGGCTCCTTCTTTGGGCGGCGGGTAGCCTTTGAGATGGTAAGGTGCTCCCAGTCATTGGGTAGAGACGGCTCCGGCAGGCTGTACTTCTTAAGGGCGTCTGCACTGACGTACCAGGAGGTGTACTCCGTACGCTTCTCGCGCGTCGCGATCGCGGTGATCGTTTTCTCGAGCTGCCGCTTGGAGATGGCGTACGCGAGTTCATCAGGCGTCTCGCTCGCCACCGTAGATTCCGCGCATGTCTGATCTGCCTGCGTGTTGCCCGGAGCCCCGATAGAACCGTCACTCTGCTTCTTGTCTGTCCTCAGCCTCCAGTACTCGCGGAACTCCATCACTAGCTTCTTGATGCCGTGCCTGTTGCCGTGCAGCAGCCGCACAAGATCAGGAAATGCTGGAACGTAAGTGGGAAATAAAATGGCAGATGGCAAATACTGGAAGATAGCATTTTCACTGGATAGCAAGACAAATTTACTTATGACCTTTTGCACCATTTAGTAAATATTAATAATGTAAAATGGACCCCCCCCCCTCCCACGTCCCGACTTTCGAATCCGTACGTCGAGCCGTTTAGATTTGTGCCCAACTGTTGACGGACGCACGGCCGGACGGACGCACGCTCATGCGATTCCACAAGCTGCATCTGACTATGTCAGATGAGCTAATAATATAGACCTACCTGTAGTGTCTTTGTTCAGCTCACATTCCGAAGAGGTCATCTCAACAGAGATGTCTTTATTTATTTGAACTTCATTATCTTCATCCGCTTCATTACCATCTGGTGTTTTGGCTCTGTCATCGCACATATTGATGCTTGATATTTCATTCACTACTATCACGTCTTGGTCTGGTAGCGACGTTGACACCTACAACAATTATCACATGTTAATCAAAGCTGAACACCACACATCTGAAACACACTATAGCCTTCAATAGTGCATATATCAGAATACCGGCATTCTGATGAGGTAGGTCTTGCTTGTACTAAGAGCTGTTTGAAAATTTATGACCAGAAGCAGCTCAATAGGGCAACAAATACCCAAATGGCCATATACTTCACTTAAGGTTCCCAAGGTTATATTCTTATTGAGTACAGGCACTTCTATGATGTTTAATCAAAGATTACAGTTAATCACCTAAGCTGTTTTGAAACTGGAAGCAAGGTTATTGTGAATGTGTACCATTAAAATAAACAAACTTTTATGATACAAGAGGTTGGATTGGAGAGAGATAAAAGGAGAGCGGATCATCTTCGTCGTTACATTTTGGTGCCGTCGACAGTTCGAACCGGGTTTGCGGACATAACGCAAGATGCTACGAAAGATTCACGAGCCACGGAGCGACGGAAGAAAACTGGAGAAGAAAGAAGAAGATTGGAGAGAGATAAAAGGAGAGCGGACGAGAGAGCAAGAGAGACAGAAGAAGAGAGAGAGGGAGAGACGGGAGGACAGCATGAAATGCCGAGATGCAGGAGCAGACAGAGCAACGGAAGCCGAGAGAAGAAGCTGGAAGAAAGAAGAGAAAGATATATAATGCCGTGGTAAGTGTTGCAGTTTTCCTAGTATAGATTTCGCTGTGCTAACGCTGTTTACTGTCGCCTGACTGCTAAGTATACTGACGATATTGCCTGTGCATATCTTATATCATATATTTTGCAAACATATTTGCTCGGCGTGGAATTACAATTGAAGAGGCACACCTTCATCTGGCACAGCCTTGCTGGTAGTCATTCTCTTGTCTGTCAGGTCTGCATCTGGACTGCTACATTCTGTCAATGTGTAGCTTGTACTCACGGGTAGAACTTCGTTGCAAATAACCTTCAGAGTAAAATTCTCACGTTTATATTGATATAGTTGTTATTTTAACCAACATCTAAGATCCAGTATGGATTAACAGACATTGCATGGATATGTGTGATAAACTTAAATGAGACGTGTGCATTTCAGTAATAACTGACCATTTTTAAGCCATTGATCTCGGCAGTCTAACTTAATAACAGAATTATGAATGCCGATATGTGTACCCGATTGCGAACATGAGCGAAACCCTCTATTTAAAAATATAACACATGTCACTGCAAAGGAAAAGATGTGTTAAACATCTACCTTGAACTTGAGGAGATAGTCCAGCCCAGGACTGTTGTCTGTCATTTGGTCACTCCAGTGGCAGCCAAACATGACTGGCTTTAGTTGTATGCATTTACGCTTCATTTCAGCGTGAAATGCTTGCTGTTGGGCTTCCATACGCACCTTGTTTGCATCCGAATTCTGACAATCAAACAAAGTGAACATTGTCTTGTGAACTCTCATAAAAAAGCAGCTCGTGTAGTGCATTACGTGAAAGGAGAACATCAGAAATAGAAAAGAAGAATGCCTCTGTGTATTGAAACCATATTTCAAAACCTGATGATCTTACCTCATCTTCTCTATCTGCTCCCTCATCATCGGAGAGATAGCCATGGGGGACAAGAAAGCCATCATCTTCATCATCATCATCCTCTTGCTCATTATCATTATCATTATCATTATCATTGTCCTCCTTTATTTGACAAACAATAATCAATAAAACCGTGAAAACTACCAAAGCAATACACGAGTAAAATATCATTGAAATCACAGTAACGTATTGAATAGACATTTGTAATTCCCAACTGGTGACGAAAACAGAGGCCCATGAATGTGATCAATGTAAAACTAAGTAATAAACTAAGTCAAACAAAGTACTAATTTACACTATATGCCAAATTTCAAATATCTAAAATTGCACGTAAGCTAAAGGGCCCGCACACGGTGCGCTGTGCCGAATGTGCACCGTGTGCGGGCTGGTTTGCGTGCGCATTCGGCGCGCGCCAAATGTGCACCGTGTGTGGGAGCCCTTACCCCTTCAGAATGATCAATGTCTTCTCCTGGTTCCTCCTCTTCCCATTCATCATCACTCTCTACGTCATAGTCAAAAAACACCTATAGAAAACGTCAATGAAATGCAGAGTATAATATCAACAATCTAACTCTGTAAAAGCTGTCTCAATTTGAATCCAAGATAGTTTTAAAATTTGCAAACTTCGCAACGAAATTTTGAGTTAGATAGTGACTGTGTAATAGAATTACATTGAAATCATTGATAATCTCATTTGTATCGCTGCTATGACAATTCTTCGGAAAATATCACAACTTTTGAGAAACTGGTAGTATAGCAACAGCATTCAAATCCTTCTTGGTGATGCAGGTACGACCGACTAATCGTAATTTTTATTAATAGTGCTTGTCAATCATAAAACAAGGTTTAATTTATTATTCTTTTCATTCATTATAACATAAAAGACCAGGTTCCTCCACTAGCAGAGTCGACCTAATGTCTCGTTCATATTTCAATAAAATGACGTATTATAATAAGCCTTTATAAAAAACATTCTTTGACTATTGTACACTTTAGGACTACATACCAAATCAGTCTTAAAGGGATTTCTGCCACAGATTGTATTACTTTTCTTGCGCCATGTGCCATAGTAGGCTGGTCTGTAGTTCGCATAAAACTGCAATAGCTTGACCTTCATATAAGGACAGCTCTCATCCACCACCTGTCAAGAAAGTATTGGTTATGTTACAAGTAAAAATGAATGCAAATTCCAACGTAGCCTCATCAACTCGTGCATACCTTCTCATCGGCACAAAGAGTAGCAGATAGTAAATATAATTAGATTGGTATTTACTGAATTAACTAACACTGCTTTCGATCAAAAATATTTTTTACTACACACATGTATGCACACAAGCTAAGCAACAGAAATGACTTCATCTGCTTCCACTAAAAAGCACAATTGAATACTGATATATATATATAAACATGTTGGCATTCAATTTCTTTGGGTATTTCATGAGTATTTTTTTCATCTTAAATATATACGGAATACCTGAATATCTTGAAACTGTCTAGGCCACGTCCTCTTAGAGGAACCTCTTTTCTTCAGCTTGAGATATCACGCGACCAAAGACTGATGCTAGTCTACAAAATCCCGAGTAGCAATGTTAAATGATGTTTTTCACAAGCAATTAAGCTAGAGAATTAACACTCCTAATATGAAACAGCGTACTTCAAATGTAAAGCAAATCTTTTCTCTATCTCTGCCATTCATTCTAGAACTTTTTAGAATTGCACACAAAATTTTTCTTTGTATGCATCAACGAGAATCATAAATCAAAAACGTCAATTTTATCATTGAAACAAGGTTTTCAATCGGGTCCGGCATCTTGTGGGCATCTGACGTGCATATTGGACCTAAAATAGAGACATCTGCCATGACATTCGTGTCATCTCAGTTATTTTTCTATATATTTTATATTTTTTTTTCTTCAACTCAACCTGTGGTGCAATCGATTTAATCACAGTTCAAATATACTCAGTGACATTTCTGCACACAGGCGAGTCTTTGGTCTTTCTTACCATCATAACGGCATGAATAAACCAGTATATAGTTTTCCCTGAAGTATTTCAAGTGAAAATGTTATAATGCTCGATCAGAAACAGATAGGGAATAAAACACGATATTCATTAAATCTTGTTTGTTTATATAGTAATCAATGGGATAATTTATTCCCAATACATGGGCTACGAATTTGAACACGGAAGACTTTGTTAATCCGCTAGATTTCAGTATTATGAAACTGAAATGAAATGAGTCATATTCTTTAATCTGCTCATTTAAACACAAACGCTTGAATGTTATTTCACAATCTATTGCTAATTACCTTGTTATGCAAAATTATGAATTAGAATCAAATACTATCTTATTTATCACAAACTACGACACTAAATAATACAATAACATAAATAGACATATACTGATAATCTAATAAAAAGTTCAAATAATTAGCAGATTAAGGTGGGACGATATAGATAAACTCACGATACAACTTACAATCGTTACTATTGGTCAAATACTCAAAGATAATCTACAGCAAACTATATCCATGTAAATGATTACAAATCATAATATGGATGCTACAAAACACTGGCTTTGAACTAGCGAATTGTCTTTTGTTTCTTTTATCCTCATGAGCTATGCCAGAAAATGATGGTTTTTTGGTGAATATCCTGTGTATATGGTGAGATATCTATGTAATCGTGAATAGTCAATAAGCATCGATTACTGTATCACAGGTTGTATATGATACTGTAATATAAATAGATCGTCCGTCACCCTATAAGGGATAGAAACTTAACATTTTAGCAGTCGCTTACGCCTTATGAAGTTTTTGGGGCCAGAACTTGATCAGGGCCAACTATTTTCATCATCTTGTACAGTTGTATACAAGTATATTACAATTTATTAAACATGCTAATGTCAGGTAAAAAAAGAACAAAACTTTTCAAAGATATTTATTTTTAAACTTAACTCAATATTTTAAAACTCAACACTAATTGAAATGATACATTGTTAAAAATATTAAGTATGTTCATTATGCACGTGAAATAAAAATTTATAATAGGGATTACTATAATCGTGAATCCTCCATCATTTTTTAAACACTGTTATTACTAGATCGATGCAGAGGATTCAGAGTCAATCTCTGATCTGATCTATAGTGACACAGAATACCCTCTACAACTCCAATGTTACCAAGGATCTCTTAAATTCTCTAGCATCTGAAGCGAATGCTGTATAGGAAGTATTTTGTGTTGCATATTTGTGTTCGGCTTCTGGAAGAACACAAATTCATTCCAATGTGGTTGCTTATGGGATGAAGTCTTGATGTCAGAGAAAGCATTTAATAGACAGACAGTGGTTAGAGAAGTTTGTCCCTTTGCTCCGCTATATTGTTTATAAAGCTTTCAGTGAAAATCCTTCATCTGCTCTGCGCTAGAAGGTGGACATGTTAGATACAATCCTGAACAGCAAAATTGGTGAGCTTGCCTTTAGCCGAAATATTAATAGAAACCAGTCTAGGTCTTTCCCAATTGGAAGTCTATCCAGGTACTCTTCTTTATATATATTTCCAATTCACTTTCTACTAAGTCTACACTGCATGTCCTCGCACTGTCTGAAGTGTTCAAGAATAATCGAATCTTCATGACCAATGATCTACTGATTCTCAGTCTGTGCCAATCTATATTCCATCTCGTAGCTGAACAACCTCTGTAGATAAAACTACAGAAAATTCTTTTTCCAAAGCTGAATTTCTTTACAGATTTACTATCTGCCGCAACCAAATTTCGTAACAAGCAGTGGTGCTGTATTCTCACAGATTTCTTTCCAATTCTTTACGAGTTTGTGTGGGCATCACTCATGTCATTGTATTTTCGTATATGCTTTCAATGTTGAGCGACTATAGCTGATGGCTGCTTGTAAAAATCAGACATGTCTTTCCTGGATTCGTATGAAATCCGGTGAAGGGTTGCCAGATCTGTCATCAAAAACAAGAGAAAACATAACGACGCTCTTTCGCTTCAGGACTTAGAAGCGTGTGCTTGAGTTAAGTCACAGAAACCTTCTTGCCTTCACGCTGGACCAAGATTCCTATTTATTGTAACGAAATGAGTTCGTCGCTACTGCATGTTGTCCAATCCACTTGTTTCACATCAAGCTATTCTGAGTTGGTTAGAAAAAGCACTCTATCATTGTTTGTTTTTAGAGCCATACTATCGCGTCGCATTTTAACATAGCTCGATAATAGACTGCTATTGTAAAAACAATCAGGCCCATGAATGTATTGATAGCCTTGTCTTATCAGCTTCACTCTTGATGCATCTTTTAAAGAAATTCTAGCCTTATGCCATAGCGGAGACCCAACTTGCTGATGTTTGCAGAAGGCCCCCTATGCAGCCTTGCATCTCTCCCACCATCACCTTGCATCACAAGCTACGACATTTTGCAATAAATTGCCATTCATGTCAAAATTGTTAATTGACCAAATCTGAAGGCATTTCAATATTTACGGCCTGCTTGTCGGCAGATTTACACTATAAATTGACATCTACTTGGCGCATCGAGCTAACGTAATACACATTCTTGTTTAATCAGATTCAGTCTGCATCTCCGATATTAACATATAAAACGATGAATTGTAATAAGTGTTGACTTCTTGAGTGCATTCGCAATAGCTTGATAAACTCTTTGCTGAGTGTGTTGTATTTCTCAAGTCGAAGCCTTCGACTTTCTCTCTCTAAGATCCTACCAATAAAATCGACAGAGTCGGTTGTTGCGTACCAGAGCATGGCAAGTGAGGAACTATCTTTTCAAGTTTCGTCAAAATGTCTGCATTTAATGTCTGTTGATCTGGCAGCTGGAGATTGGTTCGGTTGTGTTTTAGCATTGCGCAAAACCACAGCCTTTGTTTGTTTGACTCTTCATACTTTACTTAACTGTACGTTTATAGCATCTGACACCAAATGCAAAAGTGTTCGTGTCCCAATGATTTTAACGCTAGTCAAGACATATCCATCTCCGTGTCTTTCAACCATGGCCTGTTTTCTCCAAGTAATGCAGTGTTTACTCGTGTTTTCCTCATCTCTCTGCTGGTCTCCTTTTTCTTCTCCGGTTTGTCCTCCTTTCTCATTAGGTTTTTTGATGCCAGAATATAACTCCAACAATAATTTAGTCTGGTTTTCCATACAAAATTAACCTATTTATACTCTACGCTAATCAGATTATTAAATTTTATCAGCAAACTTAAGTTTTTTAATTTTGATAGACATTAAATTATAATAACTTTTATATTAAATTATAACTCTAATCTACGTCTGTTTTATTTCAAACAAGAATTTACCTTGATAAATTCGCCGGAATTAGCAGAATGTGTAGCTCGGTTGCTATGCAAAAGGATTTATTTGTAGGAATGGGTTGGTTCAATGTAATCGAGTAACACTGAGCTATTACTAACACAATACGGGAAATACTAGCAAGTTACTATAAAGATTCGGTTTTTGGTTGACTGTTTCACTGAGAAAGACAATGATAGACTCCTGAACTCTATGCTAGCCGCTATCATTCCAATGCACAGCATAAGTATCTGCCGACTGCTATCCGATATGTGCAACGTTTTATTGTAAGGATAAAAGTGATGGAATGAATGAGACAGCATCCATGGCTCAATAGAACTTTCATGGTACTCTGTAAAGCGTGTAATTTGATATTTATTTTGCAGTTACCTGCATGCTGTCAGTTACGTGCAAGTAAGTGTTGCATATATTTAGCAAAAAATCAATGTGTGAACAGCTGTTCAACTTTTTTGTTTATGAGACTAAAATGGATAGTGTGGCTATAGCTTGATTCGCCACCTGGGCGAATAATTAGAGGTTTTTAGGGGCCCAGGTTAAAATCTAGGAGCCACGGGCGACTGGGCGCCTGCTAATTTTCATCCCTGCTATACCAGACCACATCTTAGGGTTCTCCAAGCTTTTTCATTATAGCATGGCGGGTGCTGCCTTTACAGTCCTAGTTGCAAATCGCCGAAGGCGGTTTGCGTGCTAGGGGGGTCCGGGGGCTATATTTAGCATGGCGACTATGATATTTAGAGTGGCGGGGCTCGACAATAGCATGGCGGGCCGCCAGGCTATAAGTGCTCTTGGAGAACCCTGCATCTAACAAATAGTACTACCTTAGGTGGGGGAGACGTGTTACTCTTGATAAAGAAACTCTTAAACATTGTCTGCGCTTGCTGTTTCTTCTTCATCTTTGAAATAAAAATAGAAATTTTTTATACAAATTAGTACATAACAAAAATTTATCTCACATTATGCCACTATGTTCGCATAGCAAAATGTTAGAAAAACATAGCTGATAAAATTATAAAATAAAATTGAATTGTACATGTTACGAACATATTCATTACGATAACTGCTTTACTTTTCCCTATTATAAATTACCTCATCTTCTTCCACTTTCTTCTTTTCCTCTTCTTTCAGTCGCTTCTCTTCATTCTTTACTCTGGAATTATTACAAATGCACCCATCAAAAATTGTATATTACAATTGCCAAATTGACTTGCAGAAGTTAAATGATTCTCAGCTAGTGAGGTGTGGTAACAACAATACTGAGACTCACTCAATTGCTTCTAATTTTTTCTTCTTTTCATCTTCTTTCTGCTTAAGCTTATCCAGCCGCTCCTGTTCTTCTTTCTCTCGTTTCTCTTTTTTCTCCTGATTTATAAAAGCAAACATCACTACTGATTCTAATTTGATTATATATGCTAGCAAGACAAACTCGTTGTAATGCCAATTTACAATCCGCTAGGAAAGGACATCGCATACGTGGAAAATAAAAAAAATCCTTCAGTCTATTTGTAAAAGGAAAAAAGAGTCAGTTATAAAAAGACACACCAGGAGCATGGGAAAGAAAAAAACAGAAACACATGCATAGGAAAGGGTCATGGTTCTAAAAAAAAGATGCAAATAGCAGTGAGAAATTAACCTTTTTTGTCTTGTAGTAATACAGACAACCAGATTTTATAACCTGCTACTTCATGAACAATTCTAGTAGTTTCGAATTTTGGCATTCCGTGAGTTTTACTAAAAGGAGTAAAGTCCGCTCATGTCATAGCACATGCCTAGTTGTTACTGCAATCTGCAGTGCATGAGTAATGTGTGGGTAAATTTGGTAATTTTGGAGTAACGGAGTACTGTTAATTTCAACCCCTGCAAATAGTACTTCTGTCAGCTTTGCAGGAATTCTTCAATTCTACGTCAATTGCATTGAAAGTAACATACCAATCTTGTTGCATATAATTATTACATAAGTGTTATTAGAAATTGTTATCATCAGCACTATAAAGATATTTACTACACCTCACCTGTTCTTTCTTGTGTTTTTCCTCTTCCCTCTTCTCTTTCTCCTCTTGCTTCTTCTTTTTCTTCTCTAACATCTGTTGCTCCTTCTCTGCTTTAGCTTCAGCTAGTTTCTGTTGCTTTTCAGTTCTCTCCATATTCTGCGCATAATGAATAAGAACTTATAACAATAACAATTACCGAAACAAAGCATTTTAAGACTTGGAATGAGACTACATATTGTACTGAATGTAGTGGGTTGGCCACATCAACAAATGCCAGTACCTGCCGCCACCCACCTGAAGCTCAATCATCTGTTAATTTCTTTATTATGACCTCATATCTTCTGCCATATAATCTGATAATATATTTCTGTCATATAATCTGAGGTTTGATTTGGCATTATGGCTGTGCGACCACCTCATTGAATTAAATTATAATCAATGTGTAATCTATACAAACTGACTGCTGGGCCCCTTTTTTGCTTTACTAATGAATATTGACATCGTTTTGATTCACTAGTATAATGCTTTTACCTTCTCATCACTCTTGCGTTTCCTTTCTGCCAACCTTTCCTCTTTTTTTGCCGATGAATCGGGCTGGGGAAAAATGACAAATACATTTTAGACAAAATCATATTAAGTAGTTTATTATCTGGCAATCAAAGAATGTGACGTTTCTTACGTCCCTATACGCTGTTGTCAATGTGATAATTCTGCCATAAAACGACCATGCTTGTAATAGTTTTCTGTTTCCCACTCATGAATATTGATTTACACTTACGGTTGTTCGTCGTTTAGCTGAAGTGGGAGTTTTCAAGCATTTCGGCACGGATTCGGCTTCTTTTCTTTGCAAGTTCGACTTGTTTGCATCAGGTGAGCCAGAATTAGGTACGTCTGCATTGGTGTCATTATCAAACTGGCTCGCTGTGTAAAAAAAATAATTCAATTAGGCCACCGAGGTTTTCCATAAATTTGGCTATAGAGTGCAGATCTGTGCAGACCTATAACAATTCTCACAACTATTATTATCTTGCACATAATGGCCAAGCTTCACAGTTAACACAGTTAGCACTGATACATTAGTGGTGGTGTTATGGACAAAACGTACAAACTGCAGTTCATTATTTCGCATTCGCACAGAACATTTTAACAATCTAGCGGTTTCAGTTAGTCATGGATATGAATTTCACCTTTATATAACTAGCGGGATACCCGGCGTTGCCTGGGGAAATCAGTGGCGTTACTCAGTTGGTGACCGCTTGGTTGAAAGGAAAATACCCAAAAAAATCTAACTATCTATCTATCCATGCATCCATCCATCCATCCCATTCCATGCCATGCCATGCCATGCCATCCCATCGCACCGCATCCCATCCCAAACAGTAAACAAGTGCCGCGAAGCGACAGCGCTCATCTCACGTCTACTGCAATGACTCTGTGGTGGAGTGGTGGGATTCTAGTAAACCCTGTTAGTCCCAAATGTGTTCACATACGCGCCGAAACAGTGGATGACACAGGGATGGTATCAGGAGTGTATCAAAAGGAGTAAGACAGACTAAAACCGGCAATATTCAACATTTAGTTGCCTTAGTCTACCTATGATTTATTGTGTTTACCTCGATAAACTTGAGCTCAAGTCTTGCCTTAATCATTAAACTTTATCCGTGTCTAATCGTTGGTCTCACAAAAATGACAAATCGGGAGATATCGACGGAATACCTGAATATCTTGAAACTGTCTAGGCCACGTCCTCTTAGAGAAACCTCTTTTCTTCAGCTTGATATCACTGAACCACGAACTGATGGCTGTCTACAAAATCCCAGAGCAAATGTGTCAAATGATGTTTTCAAGAGCATAATTAAAGCTTCGAAATTAACCTCCTAAGGAAACGCGTACTCAATGTAAAGGTCAAACCTTTCTCTATCTCTGCCATTCTACTTTTAGAATTGCACAATTTTTCTTGTAGTGCCATCAACAGAACAAGCAACTCAAAAAACGTCAATTTTATCATGAAAACGGGTTTTCATCGGCCCGGGCATCTCTGTGGGCATCTGATCGTCCATTTGGACCAAAATAGAAGTACACACATGACATCGACTGCATCTACATCAGCTCCTAAACATGCTCACAACTCACCTGTGGTGCAATCGTATTATCACATGTTTCAATATCTAGTGGACATCTCCTGCACACAGGTGCGAGTCTTTGGTCTTTCTTTACCTCATACGGCATGAATGAACCAGTAATAGGTTTCCCCTGAAGTTTTCAAGTGAAAATGTAATAAGGCTTCGATCAGAAACAGGATAGGGAATAAACAACGATATTCATAAATCTGTGTTTGTTATATAGTAATAATAAGGGATAACATTTTTCCCAATGACATGGGGCTACGAATACCGGAAGACTTTGTAGTCCGCATGATTTCAGTATAAACTGAAATGAAATGAGGTCATACTTTCAATGCTGCTCATTTAAACACAACACAGATTGATCCCCAGTTCACAATCTAATTGCTAAGTTGCTTGTTATGGCAAAATTATGATTAGGAATCAAATTACTCTTAATTATCACAAACTACGACACTAAATACACAACTTCAACATTAAATAGACAATAGTGAATCTAATAAAAGTTCAAATAAATAGCAGATTAAGGGTGGGACGATATAGATAACTCACGATACACCTTTCACAATACGATACGTATTGCAATACTTTCAAGATAATCTACAGAGCAAACTATGATCATGTAAATGATTACAAATCAGAATTATGGAGTGCTTACTAAACAACTGCTCTTGAACTGCGAATTGTCTTTTGTTTTCTTTTATTCTCTCATGAGGCTATGCCAGAAAATGATGGATTTTTTGGTGGATTATATTCCTGTGTATATTGGTGGAGTATCTATGTGTATCGTGAATAGTCAAACGCATCGATACGTGTATCATCAAGGTTTGTATCATGATACAGTGATATATCAATGAATCGTCCGTCCCACCCCTATACAGGGATGAAACTTAACATTTTTAGCCCAGTCGCCTACTGGGCCCCTATGAACTTTTTTTTGGGGGCCCAGACCTTGATCCAAGGGCCCAACTATTTCATCATCTTGTACAGTTGTATACAGTATATTAACAATTTATATAAACATGCTAAATGTGAAAGTAAAAAAAGAACAAACATTTTCAAAGATTTTTTTATTTTTATGAGAAACAATATACTATTTTGCTGAACACTACTGCTTGGAGTTTGGAGTTTCAATATTCATCGCTACAACCGATCTACATTTAAGCGGGTAACGTCATCTTCGTCGTTACAGTCACCTATCTGATGATTTACCAAAATAGCAGGCTTTCAGATTTGAAAACTACAGGAGGACTACTAATGACTCCCCTAGAACACCATAGGGGGACTTTTCACGCTCCATAATCACACCCTTAAGAGGCATGACGGAGAGCTCCATTAAAAAATCACACCCTTAAGAGGCATGATGGAGAGCTCCACTAAAAATCACACCCTTAAAAGGTCTGCCATTGTTTTAAGATACGACGAAGGGTGTATGAAAGCTGCATTCTCATTGGCTACTGAAACAAGAGTTGGGCTAGAATAGATACTCCAGTCAGGGCTTGCGATCCATTGCAACTCTATGGACAGGGAAAACTAGCCTCAAGGCCACGCGTGACGCGGCGGCTTTTGATGTACACGATCGATCGATCGCGTACTATATATACGGCCTGCATAGCACGCGCGGCATACACAACCACACACACTTGCAGCGTCAAATAAACGCACACACTGGCCAACGTCTGACAATCTCAAACAGTGAACTAAGCCGTGTCTATATTGTAAAGCAAACTATATTACAATGGTATTAAAAGAAGGTACTGTTAGTAGGCTGTTGGACTGTAAAATGAAAATTTGTACATTCTAACCCCCCTAAAATTTTCTCTCAACGGATTTAGACGTTTCACAAAATCGACCCTGGGACTGTGAAATCCGCGGATACGAGGAAGATTCTCATCCCTGTAAAATGGAGCGCTATTTCAACATAATACACAGACTTTTGGTGCGCGATTTCAACCACTTTTATGAGGCGCGATGATGCGCGCACCATGGCACAATTTATGGTGCGCGGTGAAGCGCGAGCGCGATCGCGCCTCTTAAAAATGAAAGCCTGAAATAGAGTACAACTACAGTGAGAGATTACACATGGCAGGCCACATAAAGAGATCCTGAGTGCTGTTCATTGGATCAATATATGGCAATGATATTCTTAAATGAGGAAAATGGGCGATTTCCATCACTGTATCATAAGACTAGAATAGCATAAAAGCACTACCTTTGGTTCCTGTGTTGTCCTCACGATTTTGTCGAGAATGGTGCACTTTGTCTTCCATTCAGTGCTGTCTGCTCGCATAGCAAGATCTGGTTCGGAACTGGAGCTGATCTCAGCTTCGCCTGTTCTTGGAGATGATCCGGGTATTCTGGGTTTCTTCTGCCCAATACCATGTACTGGCTTGCTTGCTTTTTCTTTCACCTCAACTGACTTGCCCGCTTTCACATCACTGCTGGTCTTTCTCAATGCGGTCTGACTGACATCTAGTATTTTGAAAGGCAGTCGGGCTAAAGAAACGTGCAAAGATAAGAAGAGTCAACTTTCAACACAACAACATGAAGACAACTTTAAGGCAAACATTCTTATACTGGGTATTTCTGTAGATAAACATTTGTAGTATTCACTTGATTATTTTAATAAAATCTCAGAATGATTAAAAAAAAAAAATTTATTGGTGCCAACTATACATTAGAATATATCACTCTCAAGGTAGCATGAAGTAACATAGTTGCATTACTATATATAGGGCCAATAATTATATATATATGCGTATACTGATTCATAAAAATAATAAAATAGCAAACATTTCATTGACGTAAATCAGTGGTTCCCAAACTTTTTTCTCTGGGCTGCACTTGCCAAATAAAAATTTGCTCTCGGCACACCGAATTTTTTAATGATAAGAAATATATTCAAAAACAAAAAAACAACTCCTAGCAGTGCTTGATTTATAACATAGATTAGAACACATCTACTTTATAATATGATCATGGGACATCCAGAAAGTATAAAACAATGCAGCTACATAAAAACACGATTCATTCCCAATATACGTATATACATATAGATGAGCCTCATACAACATATGTATAGACAAGCTAGAGCCTAGAGGTGACATGATCGAGGCTTTTAATTTTTTTTAACTCATATGACCTCGAATAAAAATGACCATGAAAATGACCTTCATATTTATTTTTGGCATATAAATTTTTTGAAAATGTTACTTGGAATGTTTAAAGTTTTCTTTGATTGTCGTTGAATCTTCCCGCCACACTTGCCATCCTCTCACGCCGCACCGTTTGGGAACTACTGACGTAAATAAACAACTTACCCTGTTTAAGCCGCTTCATTGGAGGGCTAGACAAAGAACTCTGTGACAAGTCTATGTCTTCAATGCTATCTAAAATAAAATATAAAAGGGGGTTTTAAAACTCCTGTTAGCACACTAGATAACACGCATTCCCACAAATATATCATTACTTTAGCTTTCATCCGCACTATAGTAATAGGCCCAGGGTTCTGCGGCGCCCGACACTATATATAATCTGCCCGACACTAATTTTTAATATAAAAAAGAAAGAAAAAAAGTCTGATATATATGGGCTTTTTATTGCTCAGAATGCAGGAAATTGAGTTTCAGACTATCAAAAATCAAAAATTTTCAGGGGGGCATGCCCCCGGACCACCCTAGATTGGCTTCGCGCCTACGGCGCTTGCATCTTGCGAGAAGTCACAACTGGATGCGCCCGGCACTAAAAAATCCTGGGTAGAACCCTGTAGACCCTAACCCTGACAATGTATCTGCCACTTCCACTTCCATTGCCGTACATACTGCAGGGATATACTCTGGACAGAGAAATCAGAGATCGAATTTTACGACGGCAACTCACGGCATTTGGCGCCGGAACATATTGATTTGCCGTCAGAGGTAGTCTGTATCGGCGGCAAGTAAATGCCGTCGTAGCACTTAGTACCTAAATGCCGTCAGATGTATAATTTAATGACGTGAATATTCCAAATATACACGCAAGTACAAACAGTCACCCTACCCCTATCCCTAACCCTAACACTAACACTAAAGCGACTCGGCTATCTTATATACACGTGTCATAGCACCAAAATTAATCTATATAATGGTTTATAACCTTTTGTAGTGATGCGCAACAATGCTCGGACGAATAGCGCCACCGAACTAGTATCCGATGCTCGGACGAATATCCACGTCCTTAAAGGACATATATATCGTGGATATTCGTCCGAGCATCGGATATTTATATACACAAAATATACACACAAGTACAAACAGTCACCCTATCCCACGGAATAGTAATAATCACCACGGTTCAGTGTGATTTTACTACTAGTATTTTGTATATATTCTTCATATGTTTTCAATGTTTGTCGATTACTAAGTCACTGTGCAATTTAAATCAGAAACCTGTGTATGCTGCTGAGTCAGTCCACACTACTGTGCAATTTAAATCAATATTTCTATGACAGATAGTCTTCAATTGTTAGATTAAATAATCTAACAATGTGTCTCACTGCTGCTCTGTGTCTGGACTTTTTGTCTTTTATTACATGTAAATATTTTAAATTGACAAAAACTTTAATATTAATTGTACCATCTTGGTTTTATTCATATTTGATACCATAATAAAGAAATAATTGTATATATATGTTAATCAATATCATTATCTTTTAGCTGTATAACTTATGATTTTTCACAGAACAGTGTTCACTTGTTATAAAAACATACTGTCTCTGTTCGTAACCGAGCTGTGTCACGCGAAATCACACAAAGACTGACGAAATTCTTGCGTTCGCGAACCTTCCACAGTAATGTAAATGGCTGTCAGAATCAGGGCTATATAGACTGGGACTCGCTCCCACCTCGATTACCCATCGAGTGACTAAGCTAAGCCGAGAGGTGGGAGCGAGTGCCAGTCTATGGACTATAGGCGCCGCGCAGGCGGCGCACTGCTTTCCAACTCCAGTACGAGCCTCGCCATTGGAACGTTGCAAAAACGTTGCAGCGTTGCGGTGCAAGAATGATGTCACGAAGAGCGCCGGTAGGTGTTTCCTGATTCTGACAGCCATTTACATTACTGTAGAAAGTTCGTGAACGCGAGAATTTCGTCAGTCTTTGTGTGATTTCTCGTGAC